CGAGCTGTGACAAAGATTTTTCATGCATATATTTTTGCATTAAACGTTGTGTCCGAGCCGAGAATTCAAGGCGACGAAAGCCGAGATGTCATTTGACTTACATTACACGCGATCACGCGATCGCACGAAACGATGGAAATAATAACTTAGATGTAAGTTTGATTACTTTTAGATATATTTTTGTTGATTTTATTTATCACTTTGTATAATATATTTAAAGATTTGCTTAAAATAGTCTTTATTTTGCTCTTTGACATGTTCGATGCGGACCCGTTGTCGAAATGTGTGTCCGAGAATTTTATTTTCAATAACATCGCGGGAAATAGTGAATAATTTTTTAATTTATTGATAAAAAATGATAAATTAGAATGGAATACGTATTTCAGACATTGTGAAATGTGACAGATTTAATAAATGAATGATATTACAGGTAGATCTAGGTCCATAAAAATATATACTATTTTGACGTGACGTGAGATAAACACATATTGATGATTTGAGATTTGCCGAGCGCGCTCCCCCGCCTCGGCCTCGGTTAAACGGCTCATCGTCTATAACGCCCACCAATTATTTGGACCCCATTGGTAGCGTTGTAGCGAGGGACCACTGTAGTATCTTTTCCTAAATGAATATATTGTTTGAAACAAAGCAGCAGTTTGTTGAACATCCGAAAACCCTAAGCTCTATCTTCAGGTAATCTAAAGGTGTTTTTTATTGTTGAGTGGTCAGATTTAAATGTAGGATCAATACTTGTGTGAAACAGAACAGGATTATGTGTACTGGTATTCTAACTAGGAATATGTTCTGGAATTAGTGTGAAATATAACACTTATCCCATCTGCAAGACACTACTCATGCATACAACCGCCTCCATGGTCTAATGGAAAGAGAGTCTGCCCAGAGAGCGGAAAGTCGTGGGTTTGATCCCCAGCCACGTCATACCAAAAGATGTTAAAATATTGTACTTGTAGTTACCCTGCCTGGCACCTGGCAGCTCGGAGTCAGTATACTGTTTCTGATTGGGGTATTCATGTGGCATGGTATCTCAGCAGGCTAGCACTATAAAATCGGCATTAGTCCGGACTAGTACAAGCAGTCACACACAGACACATGCATGCATATTGCCATATATATTGCAATAATCTTGAAAGACACGTTAAACCCCATTTCACCTCACCACATCTTATACATACCAGCCTTGCCTTTTTCTAGGCTACTTTGAATTCAAATATTTTTATTAAAAGGGCAAATGATATCCTAACCATTTAAAATCAAACCTTTCTGATGAAAATTTATCACCTATTCAATAATAATGGAACTTTTTTTCTCCATTTTCCCAAGATCAAATTATTGCTTTCAAATGAAAAATCAGACATTTCCGGATGACCTTGGTGTCTAAATGTTCCAAGACAGACACATGTATGCTATTTATGTGTTTCAGTCAAGTGATATGCTACACTTGGACGAGACACACCAGAGATATAGTTACACGATACGACAAGTAACAAAAATTTATTGGATTGTAGAGCTTCAAAGTATTTCCTTAAAAGTAGTAGCTCACCTGGATATGTAGTAAACAGTATAAATTGTAACAAAAGTTGCTGTCAGCGTTGATGTTCAAATATGTTCTTCATAAATACTGAGGACTAAAACTAGCACTAACACAAAACTAAAAAGAGTATGATCAAAACAAAGTTAAAATTTAAAATATGGCAAAGAACGGGACATATGTGTGAACCCCACAACAAACACAACAAATACATACTTTAATTACATACTGAAAACAAATTACTGAACAACTTGGTCAATATGGCATCCCTGGAAGCCATATTGAAAATCCCAAAGTCAGGTGTCATCACTGGTTGGAACAAGCATGAGTAGCTTCAGCATCATTGGTCCAGTGGTGCTCAGGAGATGATGCTTACAGATGATACCGATGCTGACGAACTAACAGGCCATGACATTAGCTCGCTTGACTTTCAGTCAGGTGAGCTAAAAAGGACCAATCATGTACATCAGTGGGATGATGTAAGTAGCACCTGTCTGTTAGTGACAGGTTATTGTTCGACTAGGGTGAAATATACATGACCCATGACATTATGGCAGTTATAGCCAGTATAAATAATAAATATAGTGAACATATTTTCACCACCTCAACACTGTTCCAAGGTTGTGCTGCCCTTTGTAGCAAGGTTAGTGAATTATGAAATAACCATACTGTGTTTTTCATGTCTAGTTATGTCACCTGAAGATCGCATGGCGCTAAATTGAATTTGGAGATGGGAGCTTAATATGATGTTTGTATATTTTACACTGTCACAGTATCATGTCAACAAAAGAATTCATCTTCTAGATAACAACCTAATTGAAACTGAAACTGATGGACACCAATAGGAATATAGATAGATATTTTTTTATTTGGTATTTAAGGCCACATGGCCCATTGTACAGTTGACATTTTCAGTTTCATTGGTTTAGTCACGTGATATACATGATATATAAAAACTATGTGACAGAGTTAATGTTTCAACAATATGGCGAATGAGCGCATAGCAGCAGAGGTGTTGGATCTTATAAGACTGATCACTCACATCTTGTTTTTTTGTCTATTGTTAAACATACTTTGTTCTAAGATGTTCATACTTATCACATACTAATGAAATTCATCCTCAATTTCTCTTAATTGGCAGAGGGGCAGTCGGGTAGCCTAGTGGTTAGAGCGTTCGCTCGTCACGCCAAAGACCCGGGTTCGATTCCCGACATGGGTACAATGTGTGAAGCCCATTTCTGGTGTCCCATGCCGTGATATTGCTGGAATATTGCTTAAAGCGGCGTTAAACCATACTCACTCACTCACTCACTTAATTGGCAGATTTTACAGATACCCATTTCAACGTCCCTTTTTTCATATCTACTTCTAAAATTTACACTGTAATTGTGTAATGACACTCAGACTTTACATAATGCCCTAACAAGCGATTTATCATCTAACATACTTACATACTTCTCTGGTTCTATAGCAGACTTGATATCCTTGTAATGGCTAAGGAAACGAGAAGAAGCTACACTATCGTGCCAGTTTTGACTATACATATCCTGTAACCTTTGTTTAAAAGAGTATAAGAACAAATTTGTATCCACTACATCTTGGGATATCCACACAAAGGAATAGGCCCATGAATATAATACATATCTGACATTGGACTCCCATCGTCATCAAGAGCTTTCAGTAGTTTATACCATCGGAAAGGATATCTTAGTGGCTCCATCCTCAGTAATTTTAACCAATATTTTGTCATTCGAAGTTGACTTAATACATGAATGGGATAACGTCCTGTTTCAACTAAAATAACTTTGTTGGAAGCATATTTTCGAATCATTAAAAAACGCTTAAAGTAGGAAGCATGTACTTTTTCAATAGCGTCATTATATTTTGCGCCCATATTTCTGCTCCATATAGCAAGATTGGTGTGATTTTAGTGTCAAATATAGTAAAAGCTGTAGAAAAGGATACATGTATATTTTGCTTGCAACAATTACAGACGGGGATAATTACTTTTGATGTTTGCGATGCTAGTTGTTTGCATGCAGCTGACCATGATAGTTTAGATGATAGTGTCAAGCCTAAATATTTATAATAAGTAACAATGTTTTAAGGCGATATTTGGTGTGATTTTAGTGTCAAATATAGTAAAAGCTGTAGAAAAGGATACATGTATATTTTGCTTGAAACAATTATAGACGGGGATAATTGCTTTTGATGTTTGCGATGCTAGTTGTATGCATGCAGCTGACCATGATAGTTTAGATGATAGTGTCAAGCCTAAATATTTATAATAAGTAACAATGTTTAAGGCGATATAACTACATGTCCATTTTTCATTTTTGGCAATGACACCTCCATTTCTAAAAATGGTGGGTTGGTGGGTGGTGAGTGAGTGAGTGAGTGAGTGAGTGAGTGAGTGAGTGAGTGAGTGCATGAGTGAGTGCATGAGTGAGTGAGTGAGTGAGTGAGTGAGTGAGTGAGGGCGGGGAACACCAGAAATGGGCTTCACACATTGTACCCATGTCGGGAATCAAACCAGGGTCTTCGGAGTGACGAGCGAACGCTTTAACCACTAGGCTATCGACCGCCCCCAAGTACATGGAGAGGTTCATACTAAAATATGACAAGCATCAGGGGAGGGTCATTATTTTCAGTCCATTAGTGCATCAAAAACCTCTGCCCCTTGTAATAAAGTACCAGTCCTTAAAATCTCTCTGAGAGTGACTAGCAACAATGTTCAAAATTGACCATGTTATCCCACTGAAGGTACACTTTCTGCCATACTCCATCATCCCAAACCATACACAAGCTCTCAACAGTAAAAGCCTTTCAGCATGGACTTAAATGTCCTAAAATCAACATAAAACCTTATAATATGTTTCTTTGATCAAAATACGATCAAAGTTTCCAGCAAAGTGTTTTCATTGGTACTGTAACATTATGTCTTTTTTGGAGAGCTGCTTTGTCTTAGATGTGTGGTTAAGGCAGACACATCACATCCATACATCGGATAGCTAAATGACACAACAGAAATTTAGAACTTTCTTCTTCATCTGCTGACAGTTTCTTTTAAAAAAACAGTGGGCAATAAGAGAAGAAATAAACTGCAAAATATGTAAAGATTGATGTAACCTTGTAATAGATCTGTATGACAAGTCATGAAATAATTAAATCAAAATTGTTTGTATCATGTATACTATATATATTAAAGACAGAAGTATGTGTCGAGGAGGTGGGGGAGGGGGGAAGGAGTGATTGGAAGTTGGAGGAAAAAAATAATTAGTCCCAGAAAAATGTGGAGAACTAGTAAGTTTACATCAGCTTCTGGAAAAAATAAATGATTGTTAAGCGGATTTCCTGAAATATAAAATGAAGTTGTGGGTCAGCCTGTGACATACATCCCTGCCCACGCCGACAATGCTAAATGGTCAGTCTGTCAGATAATGAGTTTTACCTTCAAGAGACTGGCCAGGACTGTGAGTCGTGGATGGTCCAGGATTTCCTGGGAGATGCTTGAGTAACAAGAGTAGCCATCGCCGCCGTAGTCACGCATGCACGAGCAGTTGTTGAGCCCAGCCCCCACTGAGAAACAAAATGCCTGTCAGAGGAGAAACACACACAGATTAGTGAGTGGGTAGAGATTGTACGTACATCCATGACAATTCTTATGGTGTGGTCAAATGGTAAGGTAACATTGTATTATAAGGACACCAGTAACTAAATACTGAGTCTCTGACTGCAATCTTCAAACAGTGTGATGGGGCAGTTGCTTAGCTTAGTGGTTAAAGCTGTCACTCGTCACCCAAAGGACAGAGGTTTGATTCCATACATGTACAATGTGTGAAGTCCATTTCTGGTCCCCAGATGTGATATTTCAACATGCAGATTTTGGTCAACTGAAGGACTTGTATATCGCAAACTGGGCGTTGACAGATATTTTGCAAATCTTTTCCTGTTTTTAATCAAGGTGCTCAAGTGATTTGATGCACTTCGCGAGTTAAGGCCCATTTTAATTCAATATAGATCTTGATTATCGATCAGATCGTATTGACTGGGTGCTGCCATTTTGTTTGAAGCAATTGTAAGTGACATGAGAGGTGGAATCTGATTGGTCAATAGGAAGGACATAAAAGGGACATAACTCGTAATAGCCACTGGTGGGGCTATGATCGAGCCTGGAAATTCCAGCCTAGTTCGGCAAGGGTGGAAACTGGGCTTTTATAGTCCATTTACACCCTTGCCTCGGAGAGATGTGAATGAGCTTTAAATTTGCAGATTCCAACCACTAACTCACTCTTATATACAATTTACTTGAAACTTTAACTGACAGATCCAGGGGGAGGGTGCAAGGGTGCAGGGGGTGCACACACTCTTTTTTTCAGACACTGGTGAACTGCACCCTCGGCAAAGTAACTTGGGTACTGTGTGCACAGGCCCTTTGTCAAAATCCTGGATCTGCCTCTTGACTTACATAGTGGATTAAAAGTGCCAAGATGTCACATCAACGATCAGCAGTCAAGACCACCCACGAAACTGGAAGTCAACCGGACTGAGGATCATAGCAACCCAAAACATCTATTCTGTATATCTTGTTGAGAGAGTGAGTTGATTGGATTTTACAAGCAGTCAGTTAAATGATATAATGGCTGAGGCTAAATTTCAAAGGATATGAGTATCAGTCAAGAAAGTATGCCTGTGTAATTCGGTATAAAGTATCTCAACACCTACTTTTCTTCTGATTCACTGAAACAGTGTTGCGTGTTGCATGAAGATCAGTACAAAACAAAGATACATTTAACTGCAAACCACCCTGATAACAACCAGTAAAATTTAATTCCATGTATTGCACATCACAATAATTTATTGGAAGATGAATAAAATTGGTCTTAAGCATCCATGCTTGTCTCCCCCGTGGAGATCCGAGGTGAAATTGGTCTTCAGCAACCCATGCTTGTCGTAAAAGGCGACCAACGGGATTGGGTGGTCAGGTTCGCTGACTTGGTTGATGCATGTCATTGTGTCCTAAATGTGTAGATTGATGCTCATGATGTCAATCACTGGATTGTCTGGTCCAGACTTGATTATTTACAGACTGCCGTCATATAGCTGGAATACTGCTGAGCATGGCATTAAACAACAAACAAACAAACAAACACCAGGGTTTCACTGTCTAGAGGTTCTGTAGCTCACCTGTGTGTAACAATATTTTAGATATTCATTGGTCAGATTGGATATAAAAGTAATTAATGATGTCAGGCTCTACCTTAGCATGGCACCCTCCATTGTTGGACAAACAGCTGTTTGTGGGAGAACAGACAGACCCATTGCCGAAATAGCCATCATCACATATGCAGTGGTACTGAAAGACACAAAAATATAGTTATTAACTAAACAATTTACTTTACATTTCAACACATACTAATCAAATCAATAAAGACATTATCATCCTGTTGAATACACAACAGTGTTACTCCATCCACTGTGGAATATATGTACAGCACTATTTATAACTAACAAATGAAGCCATGGCCTGCTTTTAGCAAGAGGGATGCTAGATAGTGCTCTGACCAATGAGAGCTCAGATTATACTGCAACAAATGTTCAATTTGGGATAACACTTTATGATCCAAAACTGGCTCCCACAGGAGATAGCACTTGGATGAAATTGCATCACAATGCCTTGTAGACACCTGTGACATCATTGGTTACCATGACATCACAATCAAATGACATCACTAATGGCTCTGCTACTGAAGCTGTTAGCAGTACTTTTTACACTTAAGCCACTGCTTATTACTGTTTACAAACTGAAACATTTGGAAGAATGATGCTGTTAGTAAAATCTCACCCTTGTATCCTTTGATATCAAATATATCAACACTCGTTGATAAGAGTCTTTCCACTTTTTTCAACTCGTGTTGATATTTTTTATATCTAAAGATATTCTTAGTAAAGTACAGATTCAAGTACTTCGAACCCACAGTGCCAGAGTGAGGCACCTAATCGCCAGTACACAAAGTCAGCGATCTAACTCACTCAGCCACCGAGGCTTCCACAAAATTGAAAGCCTGACAACTGGTAGTCTAGATCACATACTTTGTGTACCCCTCTGACAAGTGTAAATTGGCATGGCTCCCTAGATATGAACACATAATGCATGCGTACAAGTACGTGACCTAGACTACCATCTGTCAGACTTTCATTTTTTGGTATTTTGGATGTGTTATTTAAGGAGTGACTGTGTATTTGTTTTGGTTCATTGAGGTATGAATCGAAAAACCGATGTGCAAACTGTATAAATCCGTGGGCTTACAAAAGTTTGCACATTGGTTTTTCGAGTCATACCTCAATGAACCAAAAAAAATACACAGTCAATGCTTATAATTAAATTCGACAATGAAAACATGTTTTATCGACAATAGTTTAACCAAAAACAGGTGTATGTATCAAAGCCGACAAAAATTACGACATTGATAAACATTCCAGGTGTAGGAATACATACTGTGGCGTGACATGAATCAGGTGATTGTTTAATTTATGCACATAACTTGACACGCCTACAAAGTCAGTAGCCAATCAACGGAGAGTAGGAACAAAACAATGTTCATAAGACCTGCCAATCAAGGCAAGAGGCGAGAAGAAGTGCAACAGTCAGACTGTAATGAACCAGAAGAAATATGTCCGGGAGAAGGCGGCTGTTTCAAATGACATGGTCAGTTACCGCCAGATTCAAACATTAGTTCCCTGAGAACGGGAAGACACAGTTGGAAAAATGCTGGGAAATGAATGCAATAACATTTGACCAATTCAGCTAATCAGAATGCAGAAATATAAATGAACACAGCAAAAATGTAATTATAAGTAGATGAAAACATTGAAAGGTTTTTTTCCATGACAGTTACTGGCATCACCTGTATATATTTCTATACATGAACATTTGGTGAAGGTTAGCTAAAAATGAATTAAAATATATGTGTACATCCTTGTTTGCAATAAATGAACATCCTGTAACTTATTACCCCTATATCAATAACCCTGATTCTCTTCACGGATGTTATAAGAATAAAAAGTTAGGCTAGATTCTTCCATCCTTGAAGAATCTGGATCAGTCATGGAGGTGGGTTATCTTTCCTTACCTGGCCGACAGTGATGGTCCTGCAGGTGGCGTTTCCCCCACAGTCGCCCTGGCGCATGCATGGGTTTTCTTGTTGGCAGTTGAAGCCGTCACCCACCCACCCCTCATCACACTCACACCTGGGCATGTCCGGGCCGACCTTTGTACATGTTGCCTGTAACAGAAGAATGTGTGTGTGTCATAAAAGCCATTTCGCTAGCACTGGTACTTCTTTTTGGAAAAGCTGAGGGATGGTTCTCTTAACATGAAACATGCTAGATGAATGCTTTGCTTGTTGTTTAACGCGGCACTCAGCCATATTCCAGCTATATGACAGTGGTCTGTACATAATCCAGTGTGGACCAGACAATCCAGTGATTGATGTAATGAGCATTGAGTCCACGCATGACATGCATCAACCAAGTCAGCGAGTCTGACCACCCAATCCCGGTAGTCGCCTCTTATGACAAGCATGGTTTACTGAAGACCTACCGTATTTTCTCGAGTATAGTGCGCACTTTTTTTTAAAAAACCACAGCTGTGTAGGAGGGGGTGCGCACTATACACGATATAATGAGTTTTGATGTTTTTTCCCCCATGGAAAGAGATTACTGCGAACACGTAACACCGGAAATACCATGTCAACACACGTACCATACTGAAGTACGCAAATTAGTCATGTAATTACACTGTCTGGCTATAAAAAGTGTTCTTTGTATATCTGGACTTATGTTTGTAACTTATTTTAATAATTTTATTCAAAATACCTTTTAATATTGTTTTAATTAATTTCGGCGAAATCGTGTGTGAAGCGATCGGAAGATCGCACAACTCACCGTTATTAACAGCAACCACGGTCAGATTACTGCTATTGACGCCTTGTTTGACGAACTTTAGTTGACAGAGAATGGATACATATATCATAAATGCCATACTGTGACTCGTTAAAAGTCATATTTGTTTTTTTGGACAATTCTATGTCAACACGTATTTCTCGCGATCGCGCGATCACGTGCACGGGAGCCTCGACGGTGACTGGTCAGACTGGTTCCATGTAAAAAATAATACCCGGCAATAGTGATCAGCTGCTTCGCTTAGGGTTATTATTATTTTAAATATGTTTAGTAAAAGCTGCATCTAAATTAACAAGATATTGGAATATAATATTCTTGATAAAAAATAAGTTTCAGATACAATTTTTGCCGATCCTTGCATTAAAATCCTGTAAAGTTATATCATTGGGTGTGTCTTGACCGAATTACCGGTAGATTCCAAGAAAACGTGTGTACAGCTGATTGCTGTGTCCGGCTTTGTTTACGAGAAAATACACAAGGTAATCTTAATCCCTGGATATAAAACAATGCCTAGCAGAACAAAAAATACAATTTAAATGGTAAATCAACATGTCTGGTGATTTTTTATCTCAAATTTCGAATTTGTACTGACCAAGTTTCTCATCACCCGTTGGTTTGCCGGACTTCGCTAAAGGGGTACGGTGTAATTTTTTTTTTCTGCCCAGTATCTACCCAGATCTTCACAGGTACTAGATGAAGGCAATAAATTTGTAAAGAATTTTTCAACAAAAGTATAACTGAAGCAAGTTCATCTAGTACCTGTGAAGATTAGCTAAATGAATATATTTTTCACCACGTTCTTGATCAGCATGTGTGGCTTTAATTGAAAGAGAGGGATCATGAACTGGTGGCAAGTCTACATCTCAGCCCTGTTTCACTAAGAGACTTAAACTTCACAAAGTTGGATATGTCTATGTGAAACTTTGGAGTTAGGACAGTCTTTGTGGTCTTCTTACCAAACACAGCCTTCCATTAAAGCTCAATGATGCTTGCCTGTATCTGCATTTGAGAGTTATGTTAAAGTATGACAAATATACTTTCCTTTATAGCTGTTAATAACGCCCTTATTTGATCTGCTGAGTATATACAGAGAGATGCTTACCTGTATCTGTGTATGAGTGGTATATTAAAGTGTGACACTACGCTATCCTTTAAATAATATCTGCCTGTGTCTATGTATGAGGGTAATGCTGTTCCAATATTTCTTCTTCTGAGTATATACAGAGTAATATCTGCCTGTGTCTATGTATGAGGGTAATGCTGTTCCAATATTTCTTCTTCTGAGTATATACAGAGTAATATCTGCCTGTGTCTATGTATGAGGGTAATGCTGTTCCCTTATTTCTTCTTCTGAGTATAGACAGTAATATCTGCCTGTGTCTATGTATGAGGGTAATGCTGTTCCCTTATTTCTTCTACTGAGTATAGAGAGAGTAATATCTGCCTGTGTTTATGTATGAGGATAATGATGTTCCAATATTTCTTCTACTGAGTATAGACAGAGTAATAGCTGCCTGTGTCTATGTATGAGGGTAATGCTGTTCCCTTATTTCTTCTTCTGAGTATATACAGAGTAATATCTCCCTGTGTCTATGTATGAGGGTAATGCTGTTCCCTTATTTCTTCTTCTGAGTATAGACAGTAATATCTGCCTGTGTCTATGTATGAGGGTAATGCTGTTCCCTTATTTCTTCTTCTGAGTATATACAGAGTAATATCTCCCTGTGTCTATGTATGAGGGTAATGCTGTTCCCTTATTTCTTCTTCTGAGTATATAGAGAGTAATTAATATCTCCCTGTGTCTATGTATGAGGGTAATGCTGTTCCCTTATTTCTTCTTCTGAGTATATACAGAGTAATATCTGCCTGTGTCTATGTATGAGGGTAATGCTGTTCCCTTATTTCTTCTTCTGAGTATAGACAGTAATAGCTGCCTGTGTCTATGTATGAGGGTAATGCTGTTCCAATATTTCTTCTTCTGAGTATAGACACAGTAATATCTGCCTGTGTCTATGTATGAGGGTAATGCTGTTCCAATATTTCTTCTACTGAGTATATACAGAGTAATATCTGCCTGTGTCTATGTATGAGGGTAATGCTGTTCCAATATTTCTTCTTCTGAGTATATACAGAGTAATATCTGCCTGTGTCTATGTATGAGGGTAATGCTGTTCCCTTATTTCTTCTACTGAGTATAGACAGAGTAATAGCTGCCTATGTCTATGTATGAGGGTAATGCTGTTCCCTTATTTCTTCTACTGAGTATAGACAGTAATATCTGCCTGTGTCTATGTATGAGGGTAATGCTGTTCCCTTATTTCTTCTACTGAGTATAGTCAGAATAATTTCTGCCTGTGTCTATGTATGTGGGTAATGCTGTTCCCTTATTTCTTCTTCTGAGTATATAGAGCGATGTCTACCTGTGCTTGAAGGCATGGTTATTTCTTCTGCTGAGTATGAGGGTCATGTTTAAGGGTGACAGTGGGAGACAGTTACAGCTTCTAACAGATGACAATGCCAACTCACAATCCAACAATGTCATGTTGTACAATTGCTTCTATAATCTACTCCCACCAAACGTTGTCTTTTGACCTTATCACTTTTTGTCCAGAGCCTCCCCAATCTGCCAAGAATCAATCAATTCCGCACAGACCTTGTTTTCAATTTCTATTTGATGATTTCCCTCCTGTTCAGTGTGTGGTCACTCCCCCATCCATGCCAGGCCAGTTGAAGGACATATTAGTCATCTATCATCATTGATTACAAAGTCTTCGATTGGAATAATTTGATAGCTCTATCCATCTCTACCTCTACCTTCACCTGTTCCCATGGCGACACCAGACTCCAAAACTATTCTATTTGGGAACATGGACTTCAGAAACATATACTTCAAGTTGTTTACTTCACGAGACACTGTTTTCTACGAATGTTGTTCTAAAAACAAATAATATTCGTGACACCAGAAAACTTGTGTTTGTATTTCCTCATCATTGTTGGTGTCTTCCTGATATGTTAAGAACTTGCTCCAGTTTGAAAGACACTAATTGGTCTGAATTAGGCAACCCTTAATTTATTTTTCAGCCATGGACCAATCAGCAGGCGTCCAAAGTCACAAAGAGAAACAAAATATAGGCAGTTTTAAATTATTAAGTTCCATTAATTTCCATCCACTTTTGCAGGATTAAGAAAATGAAAACTACATAAATACAACAAAAAGTAATTTTCGAATGATTTTTAACTGATAAATACTTAGCATTGCTAATTAGAAATCCCACCAATATCTAAAACTTATTTGACAAGAAAACAAAAGTTTCTTCAGTGGAAAAACAGAAACCTCCTGCCATTAAAACCAATTTAGCATTTAGTTTTTCCCCACTCAACTGACCACCTGACAAAACATTTCTTGATCAATAATATCTAAAGAACTGAGCTAAACAAATTTAATTTCAAACATTAACTCTGAATTACTGAATTTGTTTCTGAATTTTTTAATTCTATTCATATGCTAAAAATGTACTCTTGTAAGAAAACAACAGGAAAAAACCCATGATCACACGGAAACCAGTTAGTATCATGGACGCCACGTTATATAAACCCACATAAACAACATGACTTCATAAATCAAACCTGACAGATCCATAATCAATTCTATCATTGTTTGACCGATATTCAATCAGTTTGTAATTAAGCACAGTCTCCTATTCCCTTCAAAATACAAACCTACATGTTACCAGTAAAACATATCTATAGTAACACAGACAGGTCTCATGTAGCTGTATAAATTGAACAGAGAACTAATTCCCTTAAGGAAGATTAATGCAGGCTATACTGATGACTGCTTGGAAATAAAAGGATACAGTTATGAGACAGGTTGTATAAATCAAAGTGGGGACGATGATAACATATACATTGTTCCAATATTCTTCTTTAAACATATAGTTATAGCATAGCTGTTGTCATGGAAGTTATAGCATAGCTGTTATCATGGAAGTTATAGCATTGCTGTTATTGAAGTTCTGCATTGCTGTTGTCAAGGCAGTTATAGCATAGCTGTTATGGAAGTTACAGCATTGCTGTTATGGAAGATATAACACTGCTGTTGTCATGGCAGTTATAACATTGCTGTTATGGCAGTTATAGCACAGCTGTTATGGAACTAATAGCATTTCTGTTGTCAGGACAGTCATAGCATTGCTGTAGTCATGGAAGTTATAGCATTGCTGTTTAATGGATGATATAGCATTACTGTTATCAAGGCAGTTATAGCACAGCTGTTATGGAAGTTATAGCATTGCTGTTGTCAGGACAGTCATAGCATTGCTGTTATGTAAGTTATAGCATTGTTGTTATGTAAGTTACAGCATTGCTGTTATGTAAGTTATAGCATTGCTGTTGTCATGGTAGTTATAGCATTGCTGTTATGGAAGTTGTAGCATTGCTGTTGTCATGGTAGTTATAGCATTGCTTTTATTGAAGTTATAGCATTGCTGTTGTCAGGACAGTCATAGCATTGCTGTTGTGGAAGTTATAGCATTGCTGTTGTCAGGACAGTCATAGCATTGCTGTTGTGGAAGTTATAGCATTGCTGTTGTCAGGACAGTCATAGCATTGCTGTTATGTAAGTTATAGCATTGCTGTTATGTAAGTTGTAGCATTGTTATCAAGGCAGTTATAGTACAGCTGTGTATGTTATCAAGGCAGTTATTCACAGCTGTGTATGTCATTATTCAAGTTATTATCATAAGTTACTACAATGCTATTTCAGCAATACACAATAATATATGGCAGTTTACTGGATGTGTAAATGAGATGTTTGAAAAGTCTGGACTAATGACTCAGTGTCAATTACATGATAAACTGGTGCCTTGTGCAACAATAAGAGTGGAGAATCTGGAGGGAAAGAAGCCTAGATTAGAAAGATTTTAATTCATGATAAATTAATATAGTAAATTGAAGATCTTAAACTTGATCCGGTTATTGACAGATCTGGTTTAGTCACAGGCTGATTTTGACAGATTCCACTAAATAGTGAAACTTCTTGAGACAAGCTGACTGTTCATACATATTTACGTTTGTCTCAACACTTCATAAGACAGTGTTAAAATATGGGAGTTGCATTTCTCTCAACAGAGACAGTGTTAAAGTAAGGGAGTTATGTTTGTCCTTGTGCTATGATTGCTTTGTGGAACAGGGCCGAGGATAGCTAAAAATTACTCCGGTAATATATATGTTGTACCAATTGTTTTTAAAATATAATAATCTAAACAAAGTTAAAAAAGGGGTCTAAGAAAGGTTTCAATGGACACAAGTATTTTGTTTTGGTTTAAAGTCTAGTATACAAGTCTCACCTGCAAGTGGCACCCTCCTCGATCTGCCTTGGCGCAAGGATCTATCTCATGGCAACTCAATCCATCTCCTTCGTACCCTGGCTTGCACAGACACCTGAAAACACAATACAGGGGGATTACACGCTATACTGGGGCAGTACACACTACACAGCAGCATTACACACTATACAGGAGCATTACACACTATACAGCAGCATTACACACTATACAAGGGCATTACACACTCTACAGGGGCATTACACACTCTACAGGGGGATTACACACTCTACAGGGACAGTACACACTACACAGCAGCATTACACCCTATACAGGAGCATTACACACGAAACAGCAGCATTACACACAATACAGCAGCATTACACACTATACAGCAGCATTACACACTATACAGCAGCATTTCACACTATACAGCAGCATTACACACAATACAGCAGCATTACACACTATACAGCAGCATTACACACTATACAGCAGCATTTCACACTATACAGCAGCATTACACACAATACAGCAGCATTACACACTATACAGCAGCATTACACACTATACAGCAGCATTACACACTATACAGCAGCATTACACACTATACAGCAGCATTACACACTATACAGCAGCATTACACACTATACAGCAGCATTACACACAATACAGCAGCATTACACACTATACAGCAGCATTACACACTATACAGCAGCATTTCACACAATACAGGGGGATTACACACTATACAGCAGCATTACACACTATACAGCAGCATTACACACTACACAGCAGCATTACACACTATACAGCAGCATTTCACACTATACAGCAGCATTACACACTATACAGCAGCATTTCACACTATACAGCAGCATTACACACAATACAGCAGCATTACACACTATACAAGGGCATTACACACACTACAGGGGGATTACACACTATAAAGAAGCATTACACACTACAGGGGCATTACACACTACACAGCAGCATTACACACTATACAGGAGCATTACACACTATACAGCAGCATTCCACACTATACAGCAGCATTTCACACTATACAGCAGCATTACACACTATACAGCAGCATTACTGCTCAGGGTCCTGCATCTTCCCGAGACAAGGGAGTTAACTGACTGTAAAAGTGCATTTTCCACCCTTGCCGAACTTGGCTGCAATTATCGAGTTATATTTTGGCTGGACTGAGAGTCTATGCATAGTCCTATCAAAATCACATAACGAAATCGACATCCGGTCAAAACAACATGGACTTCAATGTGCAGATTTCGGTCGACTGCAGGATTTCCAAAAGATGTGTACCGTGAATTGGGCATCGACAAATGTTTTCCAAGTCTTTTCATGTTTTTAATGACGGTACTCATGTGATTTGATGCACTTCGCGGGGCAATTTATTACAATATATCTTGATCATCGATCAGAAAGTCTTACCTGGGCACCACTATTTGTTTGAAGCAAATGCAAGTGATATGAGAGGTGGAATCTGATTGGTCAACAGGAGGGGCATAGCAGGGGCATAACTCGCATAGCCACTGGTGGCGCTACAATCAAGACCAGAAATTCCAGCCTAGATCGGCAAGGGTGGAAACTGGACTCTTAGAGTCAGTTAACTCCCTTGCCTCAGGAAGATGAGGATCATGTAGGAACCTGGGGATTTTGTCCCTCATCATACGCCAGCCATCATGTTCCCTCGCACAGGTGATGAGGATAACAAAGTCAAGTCAGCAAAATAATCTTGCAGGTATCATCCTAATTGCTCTATTTGTAATTTGTTTGTGAAAAATCCATGTTTAGTGTGAAATTTGCTGTATACAAGAATACATGGAATCATAAAAATGATTTGTATTTATATAAGTGTTTTTCTTAAGACACTTTGAATTACAGTGTTCATATTCGATACAATACTGTGAGGGTGATGTCTGTATGGTTGCACTGTAGAATCTAATATCTGTGTACGTGGCAGAACCCAAGAAAACCACACATTACCTAATGCCTATTTTATTGACAGTAAAAGGTCAAATAGATTGGGCAAAAGTTAAGAGTCTATGAGAATAAATGGTAGCAAATGAAATCTTTTTATTGACATAATATTTTTGGCACACTTTTAAATATAAAGATGTTATGTATTAATGAGCATGAAATATCACCATAAAGAATTGCCTGAATCGAAGAATGACCACCAATGAAAAAAAATAAAGTTATTCAATGAAATTCTAATTCTAACATAATAACATTTAAGAAAAAAGTGCTCCGCACATGGATTTCCACACAGTTACCTGGCTTGCATTGTGATGCGACACTAAATGAGATCAATTTCGGCGTCTCAAACACAGCATCTGGCTGCACTTGATTGCAACAGTTTTTTGCTCGTGTTTTTTATTAAATATTGGAATAGATGTCTTTGATTGACAAAATTGATTTTTGTGCCCTGTTGATGCTTTGCATTGAGGTTTTCTTGCAGTTTAGTGACATTTGGTTTGGTAGAGTTTGAGCTTAAATGGTTTTGTTCCCTTCCGAGCCTATTGGCCATGATGGAGTATGAAGGCCTGGCCTCATCACCCTTCACTGTGCCTCATGTTATAACCTCTTTAACAGGACCCTGGATCCTGCTTAGAATGGGTCTTCAGCAACCCATGCTTGTCAAAAGAGGCACTCATGGGGTTGGGTGATCAGGCTTGCTGACCTGGTTGATGTGTGTCATCATTTCCCAATTGCTAAGATTGATGGTCATGGTTTCAGTCACTGGATTATCTGGTCCAGGCTCAATGTATAGACTGCCATCAAGTGGCTGGAATATTGCTGATTGCAGCATTAAACAATAAACAAACAAACAAAAAATAAATATATGTCTACAAAATACAAACTATCATCCAAATGGAGCCCAATTTCAAATGATTCTAGACTGGAGTTTGATTCATTTTTTAATTTAATCACTTGGGTCTGGGAGACAGACTAGAGACACACATTCATGATGCATAAATTGAGAATACTTACAACAATGAAATGAGGTCTATCTTGGATATTAACTTCTTTGGAGAAATAAGAAATGAATAATGTATATAAAAGAGCAAAAGAAATCTGCAAAGGGCGCCAATTATTTTCATGTATTAAACATTTTTTTAAATATTTCTCCGAACAATTTGCACAGAATGGAAAGATAAGTCATATGTTGGCTGATGATTTGATGTGGAGGCCTCGTAAACAAAATCACAAAACCTATGGTTGCAATCATTTCTGCATTTTCACATTATTAAGGCTATCCACACAACCACAGGCAAACACATTTTGTTAACTGGTTCACAGATTTTTGACACTAAAAAAACGAAACAGAAAAAGAAGTCTGAAAAGCACTATTTTTCATGTTTTCTGCAAACAAAATTAATTTGCAAACTTAAAAAGTTAAATTGAAAGACCAAAGGGATAAACTACACTAATAATTGTCACAACATAGAATTATTTGTAATAAACTGTAATTTTTATTTTATTTTTCCCTCATACTGACTAGGATTTTTTCCAAAAATATGTGTACACATCCACAAAAATAAAACTGCCAATAGTTGGACATTAAAGTTCAGACCTTTCATAAGAAAATGTATATGGCGTCCATTATTATAGTCTATTAATAGTTTTCACATGTATACTCAACAGCAAAAGTTCCTGTGACACCAATATTTTAGTGTATTTTTCAAACAAGTAAAGTTTGTTTTGTTTTTCAGTATTGTAGTACATGTATGGAATCAAGTCATAAAAATGCAACTGCTACAGAAAAGCATGCATTCCATGCAAAAGTTGACTTTTATGCAAGCCCAATGCACTTAACTACCCAAGAATGGGTATAAAAACATGTGCGTTAATAGGATTCCTTATGCATTGTTTAGCACCGTGCTGACAACAACCACTCAGAAAAACAACAAAATTATGCAATTATTCAACATTACGAAATGCCACGCCTGTCCGAAAATGAGCGTCTGCGAGCCATTGGTATGCTTGAAGCAGGATCGAGTCAACGTGATGTTGCAAGACAATTTAACATCCACAGAAACACCATTTGGTGTTAATGGCAATGTTGGCAACAGACGAATGCAGTCAGAGACCATCCTCAGAGTGGCAGGCCACGCATAACCAATAATCGACAAGACAACTGGATTCGAACAACACACCTACAAAATCGATTCCAGCCAGAAACAGTGACTGCAAGAAGCATCCCTGGCCTACGATGAATATGTTCACTGACCGTACTTCGTGGCCTCAGATGTGCAGGGACTGTCGCCAGAAGACCCGCCAGACGTCCCATTTTGACAGGAAACCACCGTCAAGCACGTCTACAGTGGTGCAGACAGCATCTACGCTGGACGGCCATGTAGTGGGGACAAGTTCTATTCACTGACGAGTCACAGCGATGGACGGATTTGAGTGTACTGACGTCGAGGTGAACGTTACGTCAATCACTGTGTCATGGAAGAAGATCGGTTTGGGAGCGGCATGGTATGGGGTGGGATTACAGCAAGACAGAGTACCCGTTTGATAGCGGTAGAGGGAAATCTCAATGGACTGCACTACCGTGACGAGATTGTCGGCCCTGTTGTTCTACCGTTTTTGCGTCGTCATGGCCCAGGCATTACCTTTCAACATGACAACGCCCGGCCTCATTTTGCTCAACTTGTTCAGGATTCTCGTCATCCCCTGGCCGGCTCGCTCCCCTGATCTCTCACCAATCAAGCACATGTGGGAAGAGATGGATCGGCGCCTTCGACGTCAACCATGTGTTCCACAGACACTCCAGGAACTTCGAAACATGCTCCAGCAGATAAGGACAGATATCCCACAGGACTTTGTGGGACGCCTGGTCCATTCCATGAGACAAAGATATGTTGCTTGCATCGCATCCAGAGGTGGACACACACACTATTGATTTGTAAATTGACATTTTGGCATGTTCATGTTTATTATGAAATCACACATTTTCTGAAGTCAGTATGGCAAATTAAGCCATTTGAACACTTACAGGAGTCTTTTTTCTGTTGCAAAACCGAAATGTTTCAGATTTGGTAAAAAACATAACTTTGCATTAAATCTTATTCAATGTCACAG